ATGGTGATTTAATTTCTGCAACGGGGAGTCACTGAGAACTACTGAACAAAACATGATAGGACGGAGGCTGCTAGTTGCTCTCCAATGTGGTGCTTCTCTGCATCTTTAGTAAAAGAAGCTCCGTGTTTTAACTGGGCATGTGCCTGTGCAAAATAAAGATTACATTATCTGACTTCTTTTGCAGCTAGGTGTGGTCATAAGACTAAATTCTAGGTAATGCAATCTAAGGAAAACAGTGTGTGCAGCTCCTAGAATGAGTCCTTAAAGAGAGAGGTCATGCCCTTCCTTAGCCCATCTTTACTCCTGAATGGAAGCAGAACTTAATCCTAACATATCTTGCGATGCAGTGAATTACTTCAGTATGATTCTTCTAGCCATTGTCTTTATAATACCCACAATGATTGGGTGAGACTATGAACATGTCACTTTGAGGACTAAGGTGTGTCTGACACAAGTCGTGGTATTTTCAATATCCTCATATGCATGGGAAAGCCGGACAATGAATGTTGTTCTTAGGTGTCATGAGTCGGTTCAGACTCATAGCAACCCTGTATAGTGTTTCAGCAGAGCAGTTAGTGGATTTGAACCATAGACCTTGTGGTTCACAGTCCAGTGCTTATCCCACCGCGCCACACCAGGATCTAAAAAGAAATGATTAATTTGAATTAAGGCATTGGTGAAACATATTAAGCATCCCATGGACTGCTAGAAGAACAAACAAATCTATCTTGGAAGAAATACATCCAGAATGCTGTTTAGAAGCGAGGATAGACTTTATCTCACGTACTTTGGACATATTATCAGGAGGGACTAGTCCTGAAAATGGACATCATGCTTGGTGAAGTAGAAGTTCAGCAAAGAAGATGAAGTCCATCAATGAGCTGGACTGACACAATGGCCGCAACAATGGGCTCAAACATAACAATTGTGAGTGTGGTGCATGACCCAGTAGTGTTTCGTTTGGTTGTGCAAGAGGTTGCTATGAGTAGGAACTGACTTGACAGTGGCACCTAACAATGGCAACATGCAACAAAGGTCCTGTGACTCACCAAGGTGATTGGACAGCCTGCTAATAATGTAAATAAGGTGTCTGGATCCCTTGTAAAGGTTGTTGTTGTTAAGTGCCGTAGAGTCGGTTCCGACTCAGCGACCCTGTGTAGGGTTTCCGAGGAGCAGCTGGTGGATTTGAACCGTTGACCCTGTGGTTAAAAGTCCAGTATTGATCCTACAGCCCCACACCAGATGTTCCTTGCAAGGCTGGGGCCATAAGAATATGGTATATGGAACCCTAACATGGGGATTGGTCAATTTGCCATCCAGCAAGACTTAAAGGTAACCAATTTCAGAGGTGGGAGGAAGAGCCAGTAATGGAGCTGTCCTTTGGAACCCAGGTTCTGCACTGAGAACCTTGTAAGCCCAGGAGACACAGAGAGTTCAACAGTTAAGACAGCAACAGTTGGCATGGCAGCAGCGAGAAGTAGCAAAAAGAGGTGACAAGTATAGCAGAGTCCAGCAGCAGCAGAACAAGGAGAACGAAGGGAAAGGGCATCGTGGGCTTCCCAGCCCACAGAGCCAGAGAGCTGAGCGTGTTTGGACAGAGAGTTTGTTGGCAGTGTGGGTGTATTTGAGCACTTGTTGACAGAGTTAGAGAACTTTATAACACTTGCCAGAATAGACCAGTGGCCAGGCCAAGGGGCCAAAAGAGAGGCTTACCTGTGGACCAAAAAGCTGTCCTGACCAATGAAATGTATCCTAAGTCATTCCTAATTGTGACTTGTAATCAGTTACTTCCCTAACTCGGCATCAAGATTGAAGATTTAACAACCTGTGCGATGCAGATGATGCAATCTTGTTTGCCAAAAGCAAAAAGAAAAGAACTTGAAGCACTTTGATGAAGATCAAAGACTGCAGCCATCAATGTTGATTATCTTAATTTAAAATCAGCAAAAATCCTCACAACTGGATTAATAAGCAACATCTTGATAAACAGAGAAAACATTGACGTTGGCAAGGATTTCATTTTATTAGTATCCACAATCAACACCTGTGGAAGCAGCAGTCAAGAAATTAAAGGATGTTTTGAAAATCTGTTGCGAAAGACCTCTTTAAAGTGTTGAAAAGCAAAGATGTCACTTTCAGGACTAAGGTGCACCTGACAGAAGCCATGGATGTTTTCAATGGCCTCATATGCTTGTGAAAGTTGGGCAATGAGTAAATAATAAGAAAAACTGAATAAGTATTGATGCCCCTGAATTATGGTGTTGTCAAAGAATACTGAATATACTATGGACTGCCAGAAAAAAACACAAATCTGTCCTTAGAAGTACAGTCAGAAAACGCTTTAGAAACAAGAATGGTGAGACTTTCTCTCACATACTCTGAACATGTTATCAGGAAGGGCATCAGGCTTTATAAAATAGAGGATCCGTGAGAAAGAGGAAGATCCTCAACAAGATGGAGTGACACAGTGGCTGCGAGAGTGGGCTTAAACATAGCAACAATTGTGAGGATGGTGTAGGACTGGGCAGTGTTTCCTTCTGCTGTACAGAGTCACTATGAGTTGGAACTGACTCGATGGCATCTAATAGCAATAATGTTGATATTAAGTGCCGTCGAGTCAGTTCAATAGCAATAATAGTTCCCTAATAAACCCCATAATCATGAGTATAGTTTGTAAGTTTTAATGTGACAATTGCAATGAACTATTGAACTCAGCAGAGAAATAGCGTCATTGGAGGGATGGCTAGTGTCAGAACTGGTAAAAAGGCTAGACATTGGAGATATGTCTAGCCTCCATCTCAAAGGACTCAGCCTTAGGCTGATTACCTTGATTCTTTCTCCTCAGCTTTGTGAAGTCAGAGAAGTCTGATGCCACCAGGCCCTTTTCACAAGTAGATTCATAAGAAAAATTAGCCTGGAGGCAAGGCAAAATATAGGATGGTTGGCATAAAAGGAGCATTGAAGGTTGGTGAATTAATTCGGAGAACATTTCATTAGTCCAGATAAAAAGAGAGAAAACAAGAACTGTACCAGTGGGAAAGGATGAGGTGTGTGGTTGTGATAAATACTGTGAAAGACGGGACTATGGGACTTGGCAATTGATCAGATAAGAGAAGATAGTAGAGAAAGAAGAACCAAAGGTCACTCAGAGGTTTCAAGCAGAGCCAAATGGGTGGTCAATGACGTTGGTAACCGAAATAGGGTAATCGGAGGAAGGAGCAGATTGGCAGAGGCAGCCACGACTTTTGTTTTTGGACCTGTTGAAGTGGAATGCCTGCAGGATATCCAGGTGGAGATGAAAAGTAGGCAATTGGAAATTCACTTTTGGAGCAAGATTGTGAGAGACTTTTGCATAACCAAAGGGAGGGGCTGGTTGGCAAAAGAGAGCATTTGTCTGTAGGAACCACTCCTGTGAATACAGAAATGTAAATTGCCTTGTGCAAAACCAGATAAAAATATATATACAGGTTTTCATCCAGACATCTCACGCTCTTATCCCCCACTTCTAAGCCCTACTAGCTACAACCAAATACCAGCATACTTCAAGTACTGAAATCTTGGCTGTATCAAAATTTGGACAGCTCCTTCAAGTTCTTTAACCACTGCATTTTGATTGCACAACTATCTGTCATGACATGTTTTAAGATGGCTTTTTTTCCCTAGTAAGAAATGTTTAGTAAATTGCCTTCCTCCTTAATTCACTCATTAAATTTCTCTTTCACATAAGTCTGAAAAAAACCTATTTCTTTCCAAAGCAAAATGCGGAGATATTAAGTATATAACAAATATGACAGAGTCAAAAACTCCACCGGGGTTTATCTCGTATCTGTCACGACCAGAGCAGATGCTAAATAAAAGTTGAAGTAGAAAAGAAATCAAACGAATGTGAACGAACGTTCAGGAGCCATCTTTTCTGGCTGCATGGGTTTCCCGTTGGGGTTGGGAAGGTTAAATTCCAGTAGTTTGTGTTGCAGCTGAGGGTTTCGAAGTAGAAACACTACTAGAAGAGGTGGAGGCGGAGCGAGTGAGCTTACTAGAATTTTCTGCCGGGAGTCCCTACGCACCCCCTCTCGGAGCCACTGGGCGCTGAGTTTGGTGTTACCGGTGACCCCGTTCCATTTGAAGATGAAGCTTTTAACGAGTGTGCTGAAGCGTCTCCCATTCATTCATTTTTGCATCCTTTGTTCCGGGGCCAGGGCGTGCTGGGCATTCAGGTGTACTGTATCACACGCAACCCCACACGACCCCTGGAGGAAGGGATTTTATGCGCGAAAAGACCGCGACAGTAGACCGTGCTGATCCCCTTACAACGCGCGGTCACCTCGCGCACGCAGTCAAAACGCGCGGGGACAAAAGCAGCAATCCTGGAGAGAACCCCCGCCCTCTGGACCTGGAACGTGGCTGCGTTCCACATTCTCCCGAGCCCGCACACCCCGAGGGCCCAGACCCCAGCCGACTTGAACCGCCCCGGCAGGTATCAACGAGCCGGGGCCAGCCCTCCGGCCGCACCGCCCTGCGGTCGTCCGGAGCGGGCCCGTTAGCCGGGCCAAGGAGGTTGCTGCGGGCGCGGGAATTCGGCGCCGCCCCACCACCACCATCCACTGACCCGAAGTCCCTCCTTCCGTGACGCCCGCCAAGGAAGAGGCCAGAGAAGCGCGACGGCGGCGGCTCCCGGCGCTGATTGGTCGAAGTAGCGCGGGGCGGGGTGTACAGGAACAGGTTCAGGCCACTCCCTGCTTGCTTCGGGTTTCCCATTCTGCCTCCTTCCTCGCCGCTCGCGTGTTGCATCATCTTTAGCAAGCTCCTCCTGTAAGGTTGGAATCGGACAGCTCCACGCTGCCTGGGTTCACCGCACTCTCCGCATCCAGGTCTAGGGACTCCCGCGGGCCGGCCCTTAGACCCCACGGGGCACAGCTGTCGGACCTCGCCAGCTCCACCCGACTCCATTCATTGTGAGAGCCCGGTCTTTTCTCACTGCGCTAGTCCCCCGCTTCTTCCAGCGCCATGGAAAAAAGCAACGAGACCAACGGCTACCTAGACGGTGCCCAGGCGGGCCCCGGTGCGCCTGGGGAGGCTGCGGGACGCACGCGGGGCTTCGTGGGCTTTCTGCGGCGCCAAGCGCTCGTGCTTCTCACCGTGTCTGGGGTGTTGGCGGGCGCGGGACTGGGCATGGCGCTGCGCGGGCTCCAACTCAGCCGAACGCAGATCTCCTACCTGGCCTTCCCCGGCGAAATGCTGCTCCGCATGTTGCGCATGATCATCCTGCCTCTGGTGGTCTGCAGCCTGGTGTCGGGCGCCGCCTCCCTGGACGCCAGCTCCCTCGGGCGTCTGGGAGGCATCGCGGTCGCCTACTTTGGCCTCACTACCCTGGGCGCCTCGGCGCTCGCTGTCGTTTTGGCGTTTATCATCAAGCCGGGGTCCGGCGCGCAGACTCTTCAGGCCAGCAACCTGGGACTGGATACGTCCGGGCCTCCTCCTATCCCCAAAGAGACCGTGGACTCTTTCCTTGACCTCGTCAGGTAACGCTTCCCGGTCTTACGGAGGGCACACGGGGACACGCCAGCTCGCCAGGCATTCCAGTTCATGCACATATAGCCTGTTTTATACTCCTAGGGTTAATTCTTAATTGGCCTTTACCATTTTTCAAAATAGCAGAGAAACATTTGGCGTCTTTATATGAAGACCACTCTTGCAGACATCAACCGGTGCTCACAGACCAAAGTTGAGTAGTTGGGCTGCAGTTGTTAGCATAGTGTTGGATTATCCAATAAGCAAGGTAAGCACAGGCTTACTTGTGCTTGCTTACTAATCTGTAGTGAACATTTTCACATTTTTTTTTCACCACATCCAAGATTGCTTCTATGTATGATTCTACCTCTATCCAGACCCCACAGCAACCTTCCTATATACAAAATCAAAGCTGCTTTAAATTTACAATCCCTGATAGGGAAGGGAGTACCCAGTAAATTAGGTAAGCACGGGCCTACTTGTGCTTATTAGTTTATAATAAACAATTTCACATCTAGTAAGTAAACACAAGTATCAATTTACCTTATTGATAAAATCCATGTGAAATTGTTCACTACAAATTAGTATATAAGCACACGCTTATTGGGTAATCCGAAGCAGTTTTACTGTTGTTGTTGTTATTATTAAATGCCCTCAAATCGATTCCGATTCATATGACCCTGTACAGGGTTTCGAAGGAGTGGCTGTTGGGGTTGAACCCCAGCTTTGTGGTTATCTTATCAGTGCTTTATCCTATAGTGCCATACTGTTACATGGGAGCAAATTTTAGGAAAAAGTCATTCCACCTGGACTTGACTCCTTATATTTTTACATTGTCCCCACCAGTTTAAAAAAAAAAAATTCCAATTCCTACCCCAGTATCGTCATCTCATCTACCCAATGGGCTGGAAAGCTTGAGAGCCATGGTTAAATTTTGCCTGTTGGCAAGTCCCTCTTGTAATATAGGGCCTTTGTTTCAACTCTTGAGCTTAGAGGAAACTGATGGTTTTCTGATAAATTGTCAGCAGACCCAAGGATTACAGGACTGGAGTTAGTTGTGTGGAAACTATTGCAGGATACATTCCTTTCCAGAGGCTTAAGGCAGGTTGCTGTCTACCCAAAGGTCCGTGCTAGATGATATTGATTTTCAAGGGACTCTTTATTTGTGAGGAATGTGTGACTCTAATGGGATAGGCGAGAGAAATATCTTACTTGGCTTCACCTGCTTTTTATGACTCTTAAAAAACTGAATATCATCCCTTGAAATGATACAGTATGGTTTCTTTGGAGTCTCCCAAGACCTTAGCCTTTCTTGGTTTCATGGGTAGCCCTGACTTCCTAGATGGGAAACTGCAGCCTAGATGCCTCTTCTGACCCAGCCAAGGTTAAGTAGAGTGAAGCGTTCAGCTGGCTCCCAATCCAGGTTTCCAGTGATTCTGGATTCTGAGTCTTGGAGGTATGTTTTGTCTTGAGTCATTGAGGCAGAGTTCCTCATTGCTACAGAAACAGCAAACCCAGAGCAAACTGACTTGATTTCCTACTGTTTTCATTTTTCCCTATGGAAAATGTGATGATTGTCTGATACTTTATGAGACAAGTTGTTGTTTAAAATAAAAAATTATCCAGGCTGTTTGCCTTGACAAAGGCCTCTGATGATGGAGACCGAACCATTTTTACCAAAAGCCTAATGGGCAGGCGAGGTGGCCCTTTAGAATGAGATCACAGCCTTTGCTCAGTGTATGGCAGCTTGATGTTGGAAATCTTTAGCGTTCCTTGAAGTTAGAGGACATACTCTGATATGGATGCTGAAAGAAAAAGGTCTACTGACTATTGAGACATTGACTGTCCCTGGGAGGGAAGGCGACAATGGGGTTAAAGGATTGCAGGGAGTGTGGATGTTCAGCTCTGACCTGCTGGTGGTACTTCGGAGGGGCAGCAATCTTATATCTCCAAGACAATAGCCAAAAAAAAAATGAGTGCATGGATGGAGATGGGGGTGTTTCTTCATTACTACCCACCCCAGACAGAAAGGATGCTTTGTTTCCTGGTCATGGTTTTCTAGTTTTACACCCAAACCCCTTAGTTCTCCCTCCTGCAGGTGGTAATGTAGGGGGGAGGGTTTTAAGAGAGTCTTTGTCATTGCTTGCTCAGAATAGATAATGTTTCATAATACTCCCAACGGCCAACTTCATGTAATGCTACAGCTCAGGGATCTACGTTACAAAGACCAGGAGGCTATGGTACAGAAAAGCTATGACTATATCCCAGAGCCTACAACCTGTAAGCACATGGTCAGGGGTCATGAGATTCCACAGTGACTGGTTTCCTCATAAAGTGCTTGGGTCTCTTTGGAGGAAGAAATTATTTCATTTTGAATGAAAAGTCACAACTCAGTCACATGGGTCACAGTTCTGAAAGTACTGTACTGTTCAGGTGGGGAGCTCTGGGTTGCACAAGGGGACTTTTTTTGTGTGTCATTTTCCTACTTGTCAGTTACTACCCACCACTGCTTCTCAACTCCCAAAGGGCCTGCTTTCAGCACCTGCGTCACCCCCAACCCCAATTCTATTATGGTTTCTAACCACTGTGTATTTGGAAATCAAACCACTTAGCAATGACATTCTTAATTTAAAAAGCAAAACAAGAACTTAGTTTTATATCTCTCTAGCTTGTAATTCCTTCTTGAAAACAATAAATGAAAAATCATGGCATAAAGACTGGATGGAGGGGGAAAAAAAGACCAGATGGGATTTTGAGGTGCTGCACCACTGGGAGGGAATGGACTTTAGCAAAAGTGCTAACTCTTTAGAGCCTTTTACACTCCATCCAGATGTTTAACTTCTGGACAGGGCCTGCTGGATACTTGGGTATTAACTGACAGACTCTCATTTCACTCATGTGCCCACAGGCAAGAAAGGACTGGGCCCCTGCCTTTGCCAAAAACAAAAACAAAACAAACAAAAAACCATGACCAAGATCACTTAAAATCAGCATTCCTGAGGTTTCTTTGAGGGAGATAATTGTCTTAAATTTGACCCAGAGACTACCTAGACCCAGGAAGTGTTTTCATGTGGCCCAGGCCTCAGATTTCTCACAGTCTGAGCAGCTGCACACACACTCACACAGTATGCTGCACATTAGGGGCACAGCCCCCGAGTTGGAAGAAGTGTTGTGTTTATTCTAACCCAGTATTGCTCTTACCTGGTTCCTCTTTTGGCCCAGAGCACACATTTCTGAGACAGACTAGGCTAGAGTGTAGTGAACAGATAGACATCTTTGTCCTGGTTAAATGGCATGCTTGAAGAAAGAAAGAATGGGTGGAAGAGAGACAACCCTGAACTACCAGCAGGAGATCCATAATCTTCTGATGAAACAATTAGTGACCTTAAGCAAATCACTTATTTTAGTGTCTGTTTCCTCAGTTGTAAAATAGGATCATACCACCCACCCTACCCTTATCCCTGAGCTGTAGCATTACATGACGCTGGCCTTTGGGAGTATTAGGAAACACTACCTATTCTGAGCAAGCAATGACAAAGGCTCTCTTAAAACCCTCCCCTACAGCACCACCTGCAGGAGGGGGAGTTAGAGGTTTAGGTCAAAAACTAGAAAACCATGACCAGGAAACAAAGCCTCTGTTGTGCATAGGGTTGCTACGAGTTGGAATCAATTCCACGGCACCTAACAACAATGAGTCAGAACCAACACGAGTCCCTGGGTAGTGCAAATGATTTATGTGCTCTTCTGCTAACTGAGAATTTGGGAGCTAGAGTCCACCCAGAGATGTCCCAGAAGAAAGGTCTAAATATTCAGACACTGAAGACCCTATAAAGCACAGTCCTACTCTGACACGCATGGGCAACCATGAGTTAAAAGTTAACTCCATACATGCTTGCTTTTTTTTCATAAATGGAATGATCAGTACTTTGAGCAACTGAGTTTTCCCAATTCACGTAGGCTTAGTGTGCTGATGAAATAAATGAGGGTAAGTGGGAGGAAAAAGACAAGTACATGGATCTCAGGCTTTGAAGGATCATGGGTACTTAAGATGACTTGAAAGGAGCTCTGGTAGCGTAGTGGTTATGAGTCGGACTGTTAACCTCAGTGTCAGCAGTTCAAAACTACCAGCTGTTCCACGGGAGAAAGAGGAGGCTTTCTGATCCCATAAAGATTTACAACCTCAGAAACCCTGTACAAGGTCGCTATGGGTCGGAACTGACTCCACGGTACATCATCACCACCACCACCTCCAAGATGATTTGAAGCTAATACAGTTTTTAGCTATATTGAGAATTATGTGAAGTCTGGTGGAAAAGAAGTGAACGATTGGGGGGGGGTGGTGGGCAGTGACTGTTTTGAACTAATAGAATCACAATGAGAAATTTGGAAACTGGCGAAAAGTCCAGACTAAACACTAAAGATCCTCCTATTCTGAAATGGAACAGAAAGCCTCACTTATTCACACTGCCATTCCATTGTCTTTGTTGCCTCCCTGATAGGCTATTTGTCTTAAATTTGAAGGAATTAAAGTACCTGATCTCTACTGTGCTTTTTATTGTGGTTGTTAAGTGCTCTGGAGTCGATTCCGACCAATAGCGACTCTGTATAGGTTTTCCAAGGTACTAAAAGGTGTAGTTTTTAACTAGGTAACAACATCCCACAAAGGCGTCTGGGAAGGACAGCTCCTAACCACAAGGCCCTGTCAGCAGACACAGTCCTGGGACACTGTGCTTTGCACAAGTATAGGAGCTCTCGTAGCGTAGTGGTTATGAATCGGGCTGCGAACCTCAAGGTCAGCAGTTCGAAACTACCAGCTGCTCCGCGGGAGAAAGATGAGGCTTTCTGCTCCCGTAAAGATTTACAGCCTCAGAAACCCTGTTCAGGGTCGCTATGGGTCGGAACCGACTCGACGGCACTCAACAACAACAACAACAACAACAACAACAACAACAAAACAACAGCATTTTGATGATGCAGACATGGTAAACAGACATGAGGTTTTGTCTGTTGC